CAAAGCAGGGCCTGCTGGTGACCTTGGCTGGCGGCAGTGGAAGGCAGGAGCGGAGACGGCGGTGAGCGGGCACTCAGGAAGGAGGGGGAACACCTCACTCACAGCGGCTTTTTGCTGGTCTGAGGGCTAAGCTAGGGAGCTGAGACCAGACTATCTGCTCCCTTTTTCGGGAATGGAACCATGTAAGCGTTCCCTGGTTATATGGAACTTTGCAGGTGGGTTTAGGTCCTCGCCAGCCAGGGAGGAGGCTGAGGGTGGGAGCCACCCAGGCCTTTGGAATTTGTCCCACATGAGCGCCAGATATTGGTGAAATTATTAGGGCCATCCACATAGTTAAAAGGGAGGTTTATTTAGTGGTCTAACTTACAAATGGAGGGATAGGTAGGTTGCAGGGTCTGGGAAAGACATAGCGCAGTCTGGTGGTGTTCTCTGGAGAACTCTGCTTGGTCTACCTCCAGCATCTAGGGTTCAGGAACCAAGAGAGATGATGCATCCAGATCTCAGGTCTTCAGGGTCCTCTCTTGGCTCCGCCTTATAGGCATGACAGTTACCAAAGCCTCAATGGGGATTGGAACTTCCAGATCAAGGTTGGAATGGCTACCCACTACAACATCTTCTTCATCACCCCAAAGTGATGATGTCAAACATCCTGATTCTACCAAGGAAGGCTTTAGACATGCTCTTTCTGTCCAAGAGGGACAGAAAGCTTCCACTAATGCCATAGAGGGGTTGGGGCCTCTTTGTCTTCTCCAATGGGATCTCATATATTCACCAGTTCCAAACGCGAGTGCTACATCATTCCCTGTTGTCTAAGGGAAATTCAGATATGCCCTATCTCAACTAGGGAACCTGAGATCTTCCCTCTCTTACCAAAGGACGGGCACAGGCTTTCAATATGAATATGGGGCCCCCATATGTGACCCTTCTGTCCTAGGAGGCCACAGATATTCACGTTCAAACTCTTGCAGACTCCAAAGGACCCCACTGAAAAAACGGAGCTGGAGTTCTAACCTCTGCCCTCAAGGAGGTATCAGAACTTCTCAATGTGACCAAAGGGGCCCCAGACCTTCTTATGGCTGCCTGGTTCAAAACAGCCTTAGAATGGTTCAGTCTGAAAGAGAGAGCCACGGGCATTCCCCATCTAACAAAATGAGCCTCAGATATGCTCCTTATGACCAAAGGGAATTCAGAGATGTGCCCCCTAAACAAGAGTGGGTCAGAACTTCAACTTCTGCCCTAGGAAACGCCCCACATACTCCTTCTGCCCATGGAGGCGTCAGACCTTACTAGCCTGTCAAATTGAAGTTTTCAAGATATTCATCTCAAGAGGGGAGCCTGGACCACACTCTCTCTTACCATGACATCTTCAGATCTTTTTATCCACAAGCTGGCCTCATATAGTTTCACTTTGTGCTCCCCATGAACAATGAGAGTTTAGAATGTTTCCTTGTTATCAAACATCTGTCAAGACTTAACAATCACTGGTCATTAATATCCCTTAATATCAATGGACTCAGTTCACCTATAAAAAGACACAGGCTAACAGAATGATATGAAAACAGTATACAACCTTCTATTGCATACAAGAATCACACCCCATCTTCAAAGAGAGGCACTACCTCAGAGTAAAAGGCTGGAAAAACATTTTCCAATCAAATGGACATTAGAAGCAAGCTCATGTAGCTATCCCAATATCTAGCAAAATAGAATTCAAAATCAATCAATCAAAAGATATCAGGAAGGACATTACATAATCATTACAGGAACAATCCACCAGATGAAGTTTCAATTCTGAACATTTATGCCCCAAACACAGAGGCATCCACATATGTAAAAGAAACATTAATAAGGCTTAAATCACACATCAGACCCTACACATTAATAGTGAGAGACTTCGACACCCTACTCTCACCACTGGACAGATTTGCCAGACTGAAACTTAACAGAGAAATAAGGGCTCTAACAGATGTTATGACTCAAATGGACTTAAAAGATATCTGCAGAACGTTGCATCCTAACACCCCATGACACCTTCTCTAAAATCGACCACATACTCAGACACAAAGCAAATCTCAACAGATACAAAAAATTGGAATAACCTCTGTATTCAATTGGACCACCATGCCTTAAAGTTAGACTTCAACCACAACAAAAATTATTGAAAGCCTACAATCTCATGGAAACTGAATAATGCTCAACTGAATCACCAATGGGTCAAGGAAGACATAAAGAAATTAAACACTTGCTAGAATTCAATGACAATGAATGTACTACATACCCAAACTTATGGGACACTATGAAAGCAGTGCTAAGAGGAACGTTCATGGCACTAAATACCCACATAAAGAAGTTGGAGAAATCTCACACTAGTGACTTAACAGCACACCTGAAAGCTCTAGAACAAAATGAAGCAAAGTCACCCAGGAGGAATAGACGCCAGGAAATAATCAAATTGAGGGCTGAAATCAATAAAGTAGAAACAAAGAGAACAATACAAAGAATCAATGAAACAAAGAGTTGGTTCTTTAAGAAAATCAACAAGATAGACAAGCCCTTATCCAGACTAACCAAAAGGCAGCGAGAGAGCATCCAAATTAACAAATTCAGAAATGAAAAGGGGGATATAACAACTGACAATGAGGAAATCCAGAGAATCATCAGGTCATACTTCATACACCTGTACTCCACAAAACTGGAAAATCTGAAAGAAATGGACAATATAAATAGACCAATAACCCCTAAGGAAATAGAAACAGTCATTAAAAGTCTCCTAACCAAAAAAAGCCCAGGACCAGATGGTTTCAATGAAGAATTATACCAGATTTTCAAAGAAGAGTTAATACCAATACTCTTTAAATTGTTTCACACAGTAGAAACAGAAGGAACATTATCAAGCTCCTTTTATTCAGTTACAGTTACCCTAATATTCAAATCACACAAAGATGCATCAAAGAAAGAGAATTACAGACCATTCTCCCTAAGAACATTGATATAAAAATACTTAATAAAATATTGGAAAACCGACTCCAAGAACAAATAAAAAAAAATATCCACCATGATCAAGTAGGCTTCATCCCAGAGATGCAAGGATAGGTTAACGTATGGAAGTCTGTCATTGTAATACACCATATAAACAAACTGAAAGAAAAAACCACATGATCATTTCATTAGATGCTGAAAAGGCCTTTGATAAAATCCAACACCCATTCATGATAAACTTTTGGAGAGATCAGGAATACAGGAAACATACCTAAACATAACAAAGGCAATTTACAACAAGCCAACAGCCAACATTAAATTAAATGAAGGGAAACTCAAAGTGATTCCACTAAAATCAGGAACGAGACAAGGCTGTCCACTCTCCCCTTATTTATTCAATATAGTACTTGAAGTTCAGCTAGAGCAATAAGACAACAAAAGGAGATCAAGGGGATACCAATTGGAAAGGAAGAAGTCAAACTTTCACTACTTGCAGAGGATATGATAGTATACATAAGTGACCCCCAAAACTCTTCCAGGGAACTCCTACAGCAGATAAACACCTTCAGTAATGTGCCAGGATACAAGATTAACTAAAAAAAAAATCAGTAGCCCTCCTATATACAAATGATAAATGGGCTGAGAAAGAAATCAGAGAAATATCACCCTTTACAATAGCCACAAATAATATAAAATACCTTGGGGTAACTCTGACTAAGCAAGTGAAAGACCTGCATGACAAGAATTTTGAGTCTCTGAAGAAAGAAATTGAAAAAGATATCAGAAAATGGAAAGATCTCCCCTGCTCATGAATAAGATTAACATAGTAAAAATGGCAACCTTACCAAAAGCAATCTACAGATTCAATGCAATCCTCATTAAAAGCCCAACACAATTCTTCACAGACCTGAAGAGAACAATACTCAACTTCATATGGAAAAACAAAAAACCTAGGATAGCTAAAAGAATCCTGTAAAATAAAACCACCTCTGGAAGCATCACGATCCCTGACTTTGAGCTCTGCTATAGAGCTACGGTAATAAAAACAGCCTGCTACTGGCATAAAAACTGACTTGTGGACCAATGGAATAGAATTGAAGACCCTGACATTAATTCACACACATATGAACACCTGACTTTTTAACAAAGAACCCAGAACTCTACAATGGAAAAAAGGAAGTATCTTCATAATGGTGCTGGCATAACTGGATGTCAACATGTAGAAGAATGCAAATGTCCATATCTATTGCCATGCACAATATTCAAGTCAAAGTGAATCAAAGACCTCAATATAAAACCAGTTACACTGAACCTGATAGAAGAGAAAGTCGGAAATAGTCTTAAACACATTGGGACAGGAGAGCATTTCCTAAATATAACACCAGTAGCACAAACACTGAAGGTAGCAAATAACAAATGGGACCTCCTGAAACTGATAAGCTTCTGTAAGGCAAAGGACACAGTAAATAAGACAAAACGACAGCCTACAGAATAGGAAAAGATTTTCACCAACCCCACACATGACAGAGGGCTGATATCCAGAACATATAAAGAACTCAAGAAACTAGACATCAAAATACCTAACAGTCCAATTTGAAAAATGGGCTATAGAGCTAAACAGGGAATTCTCAAAGAAAGAATTTCAAATGGCCAAAAGACATTTAAGGAATTGCTCAGCAATCTTAGTCATCAGGGAGATGCAAATCCAAACAACTCTGAGATATCATCTTACACCTGTCAGAATGGATAAGATCAAAAGCACGGAAGACAGCTTATGTTGGAGAGGATGTGGAGCAAGGGGAACACTCCTCCACTGTTGATGGGAGTGCAAACTTGTACAGCCACTTTGGAAATCAGTTTGGAGGTTTCTCAGAAAACTGGAATTCACTCTTCCTCAAGACCCAGCTATACCACTCTTGGGCATAATCCCAAGGAACGCTCAATCATACCACAGGGACACATGCTCAACTATGTTCATAGCAGCATTATTTGTAATCACCAGAACCTGGAAACAACCTAGATGACACTCAATTGAAGAATGGATTAAGAAAATGTGGTACATATACACAACAGAGAACTACTCAGCAGAGAGAAACAATGACATCATGAAATTTACAGTCAAATGGATGGAACTAGAAAACAACAGCCCACAACTCCAGAGAAGCTAGCTAACAAGGAACTCCCAAAGAGGGACGCAGGGACCAACCTGGGAAGGGGAAATAGATGAGATCTCCATGAGTAAACTGGGGATGAGAGGAGAGCAATGGAGGGTAGGGGATAGGTGGTAAGTACATAAGGGAACAAGATGGTCAAACTAGAACAGGGATGGAGTGGGAAAGCAATGAAAGAGATACTATGATAGAGGGAGACATATTGGGGATAGAGAGAAACCTGGTGCTGGGAAAGTTCCCAGGAATCCCCAAGGATGACCCCAGCTTGGACTACTAGAAATAGTGGAGAGGGCACCTGAACTGAACTGGCTTACCCCAGTGATCAGATCGGTGAATACCCCACTTTCATCACAGCTTTTCTCCGGTGACTGATGGAAGCAGATGCAGATATCCACAGCAAACACCAGGCAGAGTTCCAGGAGTCCAGTCAAAGAGAGAGAAGAGGGATTCGATGAGCAAGGGCATCAAGATCATGATGGGGAAACCTGCAGAGGTGATCAAACCAAAATAGTGGGAACTCACGAAATTTGGATTAAAAGCTGTGGAGCCTGCATGGGACTCTGGGCTAGGCACTCTGCCTAAGTGAGACAGCTGTGTATCTTGATCTGCTTAAGAAGCCCCCTGGCGGTATGAACAGAATCCAACCCTGGTGCATGAGCAGGCTTTTTGGAGCCCATTACCTATGATGGGACACCTCACACAGCCTTGAGGTGCTTGGTGTACCTCCCAATGGGAGTCCTTACCTTCTTGTAGGAGGGAATGGGGGTGGGTGGGAGGGGGAGGCTGCAGGGGCAGGAGGAGGGAAGAGGGTGATCTTTGATTGGTATGTAAAATGAACAAAAGTTTTCTTAATAAAAAATGTAAAAAAAAAACTTCAAAGTGTTTCCTTTAAAATCAGGAATAAAACAGTGAAACAATTGTTGTTGCTTTCATTAAAACCTACAGTGAGGAAGTCACAGAAATAAAAATAAAATAGAAATCATCCCGTCAAAAATGAAAAAAAAAGAAAGAAAAGAAAAATGATACTGCTAGTACTCACAATAACATACAGTTTGCTAGTTTGCTGTTGAGAAAGACCTATGCTTCTTTTCCAGAGTGTAGCAATTTCCCAGGAACCTCACAATTGGGGGGAATCATTAAACTAAGTCTCAGTAAGAAAATGTAAGTGTAAGGGATACCTGTCATTTTAGTCACAGTCATTAAATGGACATGCTTGCACACTCATTTAGCTGGAAGCCAAGCCCTAGGCCATGCTTGGACTTTAAGAAGAAAAGTTCCCTGTGTCTTCAGCTCACTAGGTCACAGGCTAGTTCCTCTCAATATGTACATTGAACTTTCCGTTTAATGACAAACTACTATTGAAATTTGACACTCAGATTTATTTGGTATTTCTATCAGAAAACCAACTCTAAATTAATATATTCATAAAATATATAATCACCAATAACGGAAATGAAAAGGAGAGGCCAGAGAAATGGCTCGTGTCTCAGTGGCTAACAGCATTTTTACTCTTGCAGAGGACCAAGCTTCAATTCCCATAACCTACTTAGAGGCTCACAACATTCTTTATCTCCATTTCCAGAAGATCTGACACCTCTTCTGATCTCCGTGGGCATGACATGCATGTAGTGTGAACACACATGCAGGCAAACACGTACCTTATGAGCAAGCTATGCAGTTCTTTGGCATGTGTCCAAAGTTCTTGACATCCTACCCCAGATACTTGCTCAGTCTTGTTCATTACCACTCTATTCACATAGACTAGGAACAGGAAATAATCTAAATAGCTTTCAACTAATGAATGGGTAATGAGAATGCAGTACATATACACTGTGGAATACTATTCATCTGTAGAGAAAATGAAATCTAGAAGCAAAGGGATGGAACTAGAAAATATTGTATTAAGTGAATTAACCCAGACACAGAAAGTCAAATGGCACATGTTCTCATTCTTCTGTGATTCCTACCTCCAAAACTTCAGATGTGAATATGAAACCTGGAGTAAATGCAGAAACTATGAAAGTCAAGTGGTAGCACAGAGGGGAGGGCATGGGAAGGAGCCCTAGAGTGAAGAATAACAATATACAAATGATGTGAGGAGAAATAGTGAAAACAGGGGAGGTTTTCGTTGGAGTGGAGAGAAGGTGGTCAATACAAATGGGGATGGAGGGGAAGAGGTGGAAATAACAGCAAGGTTGCTTGAAAAAAGCCATAGTGATTGTGCTGGCTAGTTTTGTGTCAACTTTATGCAAACTAGCATCATCTGAGTGGAGGGAGCCTCAACTGAGAAAATGCCTCCATAAGATTGGGCTGTAGGCAAGAATGTAGGGTGTTTTCTTAGTGATTGGTGGTATGGCCCAACAAAATGTTGGTGTTGCAATCTCTGGGCTAGTGGTCCTGGGTTCTATAAGAAAGCAGGCTGAATAAGCCACAGGGAACAAGCTAGTAAGAAGTATTCCTTCATGGCTTTTGCATCAGTTTCTGCCTCCAGATTCCTGTCCTGACTTCCTTTGATGATGAACAGTGATATGGAAGTGTAAGCCAAATAAACACTTTCCTCCTCAACTTGTTTTTGGGTCATAGTGCTTCATCACAGAAACAGAAACCCTAACTAAGCCTAAGTAAGACAATGATTATTTATCTAAAATTACTTGTGTGTATGTGTGTGTGTGTATACATCTGTACTTTAAATGAAAATCCCCCCAGCTGAGCTGTCAATGTTTCTGCAAAAAGCCATAGATTATCTAGCAAAATCCCCAGTACCAGGGAGGAAACACTCCCTTTTGAGTTGTTGGTAAGGGGAGTTTGAAAGTCCCAAAACAGCATGGGATACTGACATTGCTCTTAGATGTCTCACAGAAGTCGGAGGTAAGTGTCTCTTCCTGAAAATACCATGTGCTTCAGGCACAGGTCTGGAAGGACCCAAGCTGGATCTGACCTGAAAGTCTGCACCCTGAGGACTAGTTTTCATAGTACTGGGTGTTGTGCAAGCAGCCAAGGGAAGGAAACAGCAAATACACCTACGCAGTTGTGACAACAAAGTACCACAATGACCAGCTTGGCAAAATACTGCTAAACATGTATTGTGGAATAATTGTTTTGTACACTGTAGATGTGTCTTTGCCAAGGCACCTTCTGATTGCTTTAATAAAGAGCTGAATGGCCAACAGCTAGGTGGAAAGAGGTTAGACAGGACTTTCGGGCAGAAAGTCAGAAAGAGAGATGAATGTAGGCGTGTGACAGACACCAGGGGACATGGAAAGGAAGCAGGAGGTGAAAGATGGAAGAGATGTAAAAAGCCATGAGGCAAACATAGATTGATATAAATGGGTTAATTTAAGTTATAAGAGCTAGTGGGACAAGCATAAGCTATAGGCTGAGCTTTTCATAATTAATAATATGGCTCCATGCCATTTTTTTATTGCAAGCTGGAGGCCCAAAGGAAAAAAAAATCTGCCTACAAGTACGCAACAGCAGCACTTACACCTTGGCTACAACCAACAGAATACTGAGGATGGTGGCACATGTCTTTAATCCCAGCATGCAGGAGGCAGAGGCAGGGGCATCTCTGTGAGTTTGAGGCCAGCCTGCTCTACACAGTGGTTTTCAGTCTAGGTAGGTGTATACTATAAAACTCTGACTCATAAAAGGTAATGAAAATGAGCAATAATTAAAACCATGATTTTTAAGGTATCTAATGTCACAAATTGTGTATTTTGGCTCAGTGCTATGCTGGGAAGGATCAAGAAGTGAGCAGAATGTCCTAATTGTCTCTTTGCTTGTTCACTGGCTCACTTACAAGGTGAGGGGAGCTCTACTGGCCTTGTTGTCTTCTGCCACGTTTTTTTATTTCAATTTTTTTCATTTACAATTTTTTTTTAAGCCGGGCGGTGGTGGCGCACGCCTTTAATCCCAGCACTCGGGAGGCAGAGCCAGGCGGATCTCTGTGAGTTCGAGGCCAGCCTGGGCTACCAAGTGAGTTCCAGGAGAGGCGCAAAGCTACACAGAGAAACCCTGTCTTGAAAAAACAAAACAAAAACAAAAAACAAAATACAATTTTTTTTATTTTACATACCAACCTCTGTTCCGTTTCCTTCCCCTTCTTCCATCCCCACCAATCCCCCCATCCCGCCCCTGGCAATGGGACGAGGGCTTATTCCAGGTACACGCAATAGCATTATTTTTTAATTTTTAAATTCATTTTACATACCAACCACAGATCCCCCTCTCATCTCTCCTCCATCTCCCTCCTCCTTCCCCCCAACCCTCCACCAATCCCCTCCTCTAAAAGGGTTAGTCCTTGATGGGGGAACAGCAAAGCCTGGTACATTCAGTTGAGGCAGGACCAAGTCCCTCCCCCATGCATCAAGGGTGAGCAAGGTGTCCTATCACAAGTAATGGGATACAGAAATCCAGATCATGCACCAGGGATAGATCCTGACCCCACTGCCAGGGGCCCCTCAAAGAGACCAAACTATACAACTTTCTCCTACATGCGGAGGGTAGTATAGTCCCATGCAGGCTCCACAGCTGTTGGTCTAAAGTTCGTGAGTTTCCATGATTTTTGTCCAGTTGTCTCTGCAGATTTCCCCATTGTGATCTTGACCCCCTCCCCACCTTGCTCAAATAATTCCTATTCCTTCTCTTCAACTGGCTCCTGGAGCTGGGCCTGGTGCTTGGTTGTGGATCTCTGCACCTGCTTCCATCAGTTACTGGATGGAGGCTCTATGATGACAGTTAGGATATTCACCGATCTGATTACCTGGGTAGGCCAGTTCAGACACCTTCTCCACTATTCCAAATAGTTTCCCTAGCACCAGGTTTCTTCCTAGCCCCATAATGATTTCCTCTGTCAAGATATCTCTTTCATTGGTCTCCCACTCTGTCCCTCCCCCAGCTTGACCATGTTTTCATTCCCCATCTCCCCTCCCGGATTGCCCTCCCCCATCCCCAGTTTACTTATGTAGATATCCTCTGTTTCTCCTTCCCAAGGTGATCCATGTGTCCCTCTTAGGGTCCTCCTTGTTTCCTAGCTCATGGACTGCCTTTTTAGAGCCCATTCCCTATGGCACGATGCCTTATTCTGCCTTGTTTCTATGATAACACTTGTGAAGAGGGAGTTTCTCTAAGTCTACAGAACTAAGATCATGGAAATTAACAGAGAAATCTGTCATTTATCACAAGCATGAGCTCCTTGTCAGGTCCCTCTTTGATAAAGAACAGACCTAAAACAAAACTCCAGGTTGTTGTATAGTCAAACTTTTTATTAGTGCCACCAGAAGAGTTTCTGAGAAATTTCAAGTTAAAATGCATCTTGCATCTCAGGTTACCCCGTCCTATCAGTCTTATCTATAATATTGTTCAGAGAGAGCAGTTAGGAGCCTCACTTCATAGAAGAGACACACTGAGTTCGATGACTTGAGAAGAAGGTTTTGTTTTAATGTGTCCTTTAGAGATTTTTTAAGTTCTTCCCTATACTAGAATTATTCTCAAAGCAATATTGCAAGACAGCTAAGTTCTACTTCCTTAAGACAGCATGTTTTGTCATCACCAAAAGTTGCAAAGCAGAAAAAAAGCAAGCAGCAAGTCAAACTCAACTCAAAATGTAACAATGCCTATGAGATGCAACCTGGAATGATATCTAACTACAAATTATACCCCGGAGACCAGCACACCATGGAAGACTATTGAAGAAAGTACAGAGAGCTGCTCTCCAGAACTGCTTTATCAAACACTAAAAAATTAATTGAGCATTATTTTTGGGAGGGAGGAGATGTAAGAAGATGGATTAGATGATTCTACACATAGGGAAATATTCTAATTAAGAGACTTTAAAAGCTATTGTAGATGTTTATTTGATACTAGCAACGTGGTCAGTTATCATAAAGTATTTCTCTTCATCACAAAATAGTAAGGATTGAAAAAGTCCAAAGGGAAAATTCTAGAAGCTTTAAAAATTTGTTTGAACTGAGCCCTAATTCTTCTAAAAAGGGCCTCCAAAATCTGGAGTAGAATTATCATACTCCATAATGAAATGCTTGAGTTCTTCAACATGTTGCTCACCTACTTCATGCAAACTCTGCTTCATTGCAAACTGTATAGGTTTTTCTAACGAACGATCCTTTTCAACCAGCCTTTCCACCACCATCCCGAAAGTTTCACAGACTTGTCGGTAAACCTTCTCAATCTCCGTGATTTTTGATGCAATCGCTTTTGAACGACTGCTAAACAGGCTGTCTTCACACAGTTCTGGGCCAGCTATTGTGTTTGACTCGGGTTCTTCTGTCTGGTTGATACATAATGGTGCCTTGGATCCCTTCGGGCCAGCTGTCGTGTTTGACTCGGGTTCTTCTGTCTGGTTGATACATAACGGTGCCTTGGATCCCGTCTCAAACTCGGAAATTTCAGCCAAGTTATTTTCTTCTGACTTCTTGGGATTTTCATTAGCCCACTTGCTTGCAGCATCAGCCTGTTCCTTCTCAGTCTGCCGGCGGGGGCTTTTTAACACCTTGGATGAAGAACTTGAGGGCACAGTATCTCTTGATGTTTTCAAAGACTGGATGGGTCTCTCTCTACATCTATGCCGAGACTGATGGAAGGAGCGCATCCTGCTTCTCCTGCTGAGACTGGAGCCAAATCTGCTGGGTAGGGAGTCCTTCCCGCCCACACGTGATTCTCTCAAAATAGGAGCGCCCCGTTCATGGGGAGATCGTTGTCTTGAATAATGGGAAGAATAGAAACCTCTTCTTCTAAAGCCGTTTCTCATGGCCCTGTATTCAGGCTGTCGGCTTGTAGCATACTCATCTCTTGACCATCGGTAGCCATAAGGGCCTCTTTTGTAGGGTGGGCCACTTCTTGGATTCTGAGAAAAACAGCGGCCCTCATCCCATTTTTGGTAATCAACGTGACAGTAGTATCTACCGTAGCCTCCTTCATCAGGTCTGGCTAGCAGAGATGGTCTCTTGTCTCCCAGAGGCGGTCTCTTTGGCACAACATTAATTAATCGATGGTTGCCATCACTGGGATGGCTCCAAGGAGGCGCTTGTTTTCCTGGAAGTCGCTTGCAGTCATACCATCCCTGCGCTTGATTTCCTGGAAGTTGCTTGTAGTCACACCATCCCTCAGACCACATCTCATATCTTGTGGAAGCCACTGTACTTCTGCGAACAGAAATGTGTACTTCCCTTCCTGTTCTCTTTCAATTTCCAACCATACTCACGGCTCAGCTCAAGAATCTGTTATTGTCTAAAAATTCGTCCTCGGAACTCTCCAACACGTACGTTCCACCGCTGCTGCTGAAACCCCACCAACAGCTCTCTAATTAGACTTAGGCCCACTCAACAGCAGAGAAATCATGCCAGGTGCTTGAAAGCTAGGCACTTAGCTGGGGCTAGTGAGGTCATGCGTCCTAGAGGAGAATGCAGTACTACCACTTGACTAAATCAGTACAATTCCTAAGTGAATTCCACTTACGACAAATAAGTGTAGTTCTCACCCCTCACCAAAAAATGCTTCTCTTTGCAACAGAGAGAGACCATTGCAGAAAACCACAACGACTCAAATTCAGAGAACAAGTGATTGTGGGGTGTCTAGCCCCAACATACACACACACACACACACACACACACACACACACACACACACACATATATATATATATATATATATATATATATATATATATATATATATATACAAACTCCTGGGCCTAAGGCTCAGGGAGCATCATTAAGAGGAAGAGGAAAGTTTGTAGGAACCAGAAATCAAAGGGAAGTTTCACCCTTGATATTTCAACAATATGACTGCCTAAACAAGACCTCAATAAGGACAATACCAATTAATAGGCTAACTTGAAAGGGGGAAATTTCATAGGGTTCACCCCTAAACAAAGAACTACAGGCTGCTAAAGAATTAGTCTTCCCCAGGGATGACCCTTTTAACTGGTTACCAATATCAAGTAGTCAGCTCTGAATCACATACATATACAAGAAACACTAAAATGACTGGGAATGCTGTATTTATATATTTGTGTGTGTGTGTGTGTGTGTGTGTGTGTGTGTGTGTATGTGATAATTAAGGAAAAGAGATCAAAAATCTGAAAGGCATCCAGGAGTAGAGGATATGGAAGGGAAGGAAATAGAAAAGGAAAGGATGTGATTGTATTATCATTTCTAAAAATTTAAAAATTAAATTAAATATAAATAAACATTGAAAACATATAAGGAAAAGAACATAAGCACATAAAATATTTATTTAACAGTGAACAAATGTAAAATGAATTAAAATTAATTTATATAATAGCAAAAAATCATAATATTCTAATAAAATTCACTAGTTAAAAAATAAAGTACCTTAAAATACAAGCTTATAAAATATTTATTTAACATATTGAACAAATGTAAAATGAATTAAAATTAATTTATGTAACAGGAAAAATCATGATGTCATAACATTTGGCCTTTTATTTTCACTAACCCAATTGCTGAAGATACACATATTTGAGTCACAGAACATGGCAGAATCTAGTCAGTAATGACCTAAATGTTTCATCCCTGCTGGCTACTTTTCATGTGCTGGAAGGTGCTATGCAGGCTACCAAAGGAGAAAAGTAATCAACAGTCACACCTATCTATGAAACCTTTGATCTACAACAATGATCAGCATAACAAATGGCCATTAGTGTAATAGTAGCTCAAATAGTATTGGTGTACCCAACCACTTTTGATTGGATTTGAGTTCCTCTCCACAAGATGAAACCCATACTAGCACCATTATCAGACCAAGAACATACAGCTAGCAGTCATAGGCCCTAGGGGAGAACTTACTACTGGTATGCCGCTAAATGGACATAGTATTAAACTGACTCATCATTACAGCCGTAGATCAATGTATCTCTTATTCCTCACCTAAGGAGCTTTGATTTGCAGTAAATGGTGGTTAACATAGTGGCCCACAACTGGCCAAGGTGCAGAGAATAAGAGACTGAAGAATGCTCAGCCCTTAGGGGAAACCATGTACCTCATCCTACCCTCACAAGGTTCAGAGATCATTGAGGAAGAGGACAAAGAAAGAGTATAATAATCTGAGGTGGTGGAGGAATACAAGGAACATCTGGACATAGTAGGGCAGATGCACATATGAACTCACACAAACTGCAACACCATGAAAAAGAAAACAAACCTGTGCAAGCTCAAGGCAGACCAAATCCCAGCATGGAAGTGGGAGCTGGGCACACAATCCCCCTCTATGCCCAGGAGCTATTGACTAGTGTTATCTGCTGGGAAAGGAATGGGCAATTTCCTTTTAAGAGTGTAGGTCTGGGAAGCTGACATCTCTCCAGTTGAAGAACACACACCCAAGGATATCTGGGTACTACACTTTGGTCTTAAAGAAACGTTTTGTTGTTGTTATTTTAAGAAGACACAAAGTTAAGTGGGTAGGAAAGTGGGGGAATGAGTTGAGAAATAGTTGGGGGGATAAATTTAATCAAAACATAGTAAGAAGCTCTCAAAAAAAACTAATAAAATCAATTAAAGAAAAATCAATAAGACACTTTCCCCAATGTTGTTAGATTATTTGTTTCAACTAGACCTGTAGGTAACTACAGTTCAGAATGAATGGACTGCATCACTACAGGCTTTTCTTAGACCTCCAATCCCCCACCCTCAGCCCCAGGTAATCCAGTCTGATTCTTCTTCTCCTGTGAAGTATTCTGTTATCACACTCTTGACATTTACTAGGCCTCCTCAGCTGTTACCGTTAAACCCAGCACTTCTGGTGATAAGGTACTTGGTGTCTCAGAAAAAAGCCTACTCTGTTTTTCTGTGCCAAATGTCTCTAAATCTAGAAGAGGAAACACAAGCCCCCAGACAATCAGAGTTCATGTGCATTCTCAAAGTTCCATATTTCTGTAGGTGATTTCCCCAAGCATTTTCTCCAGAAAGCTTTTCAACACGACCTCCTAGATTGTATAACTAATTACAAACACAGAAACACCTAGTCAAAGCTAGTCACTCTCCTCCAAATGCTGCACTCCAGAACTATAGAGTCACTTGGAAAGACACAAAGAGCTCAATTGTGAAAATCATATACCACAGCTTTATAGGGTGTGTCAGTAACATAATCATCAATGCATCAGTGACAAATGCTCAGGGCTGCTTTAGAAAAGAGTCAAAGCAATGCATAGGGACAGAATGTCACCAATTTCATGAGAATATGTTAGAACTGGAAAGGGACTTAACAGTTAACTTAGGTCAGTTATATTAAAGAGGACAAATAGGGTCCAGGGTAGAGCTCAGTGCCAGAGTGTGTGCTCAGCATAAAAAAGGCCATGGGTTTAATTCCAGGAACCCAAACTACCAGCCAAACAAACAAAAGACCAGTCCCACAGGAAACTTTAACCAGAGGGATGTCAAGGTTAATAAAAGTTAAAGAAAAACATATGAAATTCCGTGCTAGAGGACTCTTCATGCCATTTGAATGTTACAGGGTGAGTGTAAGAAGCCCATGGAATACTGCTTGAGCTAATGCATCCCAAGTACATCAAGCCATGGTCCATATTCTTGTAGTAACATGTGGCCATTATTAGTGTACGTCAAACATACTTCAAGAAACATGAAACTAGTTGAATTTTTGCATGTGAACAACTAGTAGGAAAGACTAACAATCATGTGTGAAAGGCCCCATAGTAGCAGAAGTAGGACTTTGGCAGTTCAAATACCACAGCAGTTTGTGAAGTACGGAGCCCTCTCTTCTGCACTTAGTTTCTCTGAATCCCTGGGGAGAAACGCCATTACAAACATAACCACAAAACAGTTTCCTGGAACTCTTCTTCACTCCTTCTCTAAAGAAAATTTACCTTCCTAGAGCAGTGATTACACACAGACAAGTGTAGGGGACATCTTTGGGGAGGGATGCTGATGGGAATTCAAGGGTGAGCAGTCAATGTTTTGGAAACACACTATATGTTACCATACAATTGGAAAGGCAAAGGTTTTTAATTGCCAAGAGAAAATGACACTGTTCACCTAAAGGGCATATTGACTTTAAAAGGTTGGACACACCACTAACAACAAAAACATGCACAAAGGGAAAATAACTTAGCCTTACATAAGGCTGTCTGAAGGAAATTACATTTTATTCAACAAAAAACAGATGATAGCCAGCCAAGGCAAAACAAGAACAGTTGAAAGACGCTCCAGGAAAAGGTAGTAGTGAAATTTAAGGACCATAGCATGAGAAGCCATATCATGACTAATGAACGACAGCTTGTTCTGTGTGACAGAAAGATAGGGGGAGATAAAGACAGATAGGAGGGGAGAAAGTGAGATTGAACAGACATGAAGAGACAGAGAAAAGAAGTGGAGTAGAAGCATATGCAAACAACACAGTGAAACCCTACAGAGGGGCCATATCAATTTTAGTCTATACGACAAAATTGAACATTACTGTAACAGCAATAATAACACACTAAAAGATTGTAAAAATTCAGGCAAACCGAGGAATCAGCAGAGAGCCAAACATTCATCTATGTTCCTTTGTTCCACACTGACTGACAAGAATTTTCCATTTGCAATAGAAATATGCCCTCAGGAGTCCAGGTGGATAGAGCAAAGTAGAGGGGGCTCTAGAGAGGTTGTGAGCAGAATGCATCAATGCCTTGACCTTGGTGGTGGCTATCACACAGGCTGGTTTGGGACCTTATATACACACATGCTTACATCACACATACACATAAGTATATGTGGAGAAATAGAAAAAGATCACTCAAATGTCCCCTTAATAGTATTCTAGACTACTGGTGGGACCTAAAGGCTAAGATAAAGGAGTTATTAGCCTATCTTAGCCATAGAAGGAAAGGTGGTGTGGGGGCTTTATAAAAGAGGCAAAAAGCAAATCAGAGTTCACTGAACGAGCAAAATCTCACAGGAAAGGAAGTAATCCACCATGGGCCAGTGTAAACAGCTGGTAACTAAGGAAGTAGAAGAAGAAAAAAATTCTTGGTGATGGGCAAATTGTGGGGAACACAATGTATATAGAACAGGCAACATTACAACAGTAGAGAGCTTTCAGTCAGCATTGAGATTAGAGCAACCAAGGCACAAAATTTATGATAAAATGTATTTTAGTGAATATACACTTGTGGTTTATAGGGAAAGAACAGGTGTCCCATTGCCAAGCATGGCATTTCATGACCTGGCTAACGCCTACTACTTATTTGCATGGTATCATCTCTTGCCATTCTTTGACACTAACTCTTAAGCTTGTGTGTCCTATTCTGTACACGGTGTTTCTCACCTATGTGACTTTACTTGTGTTATTTTTTTCTTCTGGGAAATTCCCACCTTCCTCCATATTTGGTGAACTACTACTCAGTCATCCTTTAAACTCATGATTAGGTGTCATCTTCTCTGGACCTTTCCACAGTTTCCTTCTGTATTTCAACAGACTATTTAGATGCTTCTCTTCTGTATTCCTATGCTGCCCTACATTCGTGTGAAATTGTGTCCTTTGAGTGCAAGAAGACTGTCTTAAGCCTCCTTGTATTCTAAGCACGAGTGCCCAGTGCAGTTCAGCAAATGCATATCACCTGACTAAGAGCTGTGTGTGGTGGTACAGAGAGAGTGAGGCAGGAGGAGCGGGAGTTTAACGT